AAAATTCTGTTGAACAGCTTGAAGTAGTGGAAAACAAAAGACGAAGTTTGTCTAGTTCTTTTATGAACATCCAAAAATTGAGATTCATCACCAATTTTCATTTGTAAAATTATAAAACAACGATGAAAAATAAAAACAACAATAAACATTATTTGGTGCTCCGGGGCGACTTCATAGATTCCAGTGGCGCATTTGCTTGAACATCTTGCATCTTGAACATTTACTGCAAAGTAAACAAGTGAGGATTTTTCCAGCAAAAGATATACAAACACAAGGCGAGATGAAATGTACGGAATCATCAATCCAGAGCGGTCAGGAGTATTGATTTTGCTTACGTTTTGCTCATGAAGAGTGTTCAACAAGAACCCCAAGAATTCGGAACAATCCTCTTGTTGTCCTAACGAGTATCTAGTATACTTCAAAGACTCCAGGAAATCGGTTGGAGGGAAAGCTGATACATTTTTATGAAACTGCAGCTGCACGAACAGGTGTTTGAGTACTTTTCAACAATTTATCAATCTTCTTTTGAAGTATAACACTTGTACTTCAAAAAATCATCAGTGCAACTTTGCAGTATATTTGTCTTCTGTATAAAATGCAACCGAGTACTTGGAACCAATTCTTCTTATCCTCTCCGATAATCCTCTGATGTAGGGAAGTGCAAGCACTGGTTGTGACGGCTTCTCTTCCTTGCGAGGCTCCTGCTGTCTTCTAGCCAAAGTCTTTNTTGCATTCCTTTAATTTTTATTTATTCAATTATTATATTTTTACTTGTAGGTTATTTCACTATCATTTCATTTCAGGTTTATTGTTGCTTAATATAATTGTTATTTTCAACTATTCTTTTTTAATTATTCTTTTTTACTTGTTTCAGGGATTTCAAATTATTTTATATAGTAGACAATGGAAGTCCGAACTAGTGAAATTCATCATGAAACATTGTCAATCACCTTCAAACAAACCACAAAATATGTGCTCTGCTGTCTCATCATTTTCCAAACAGAGGCGACACACACTGTCTTCCGACAGTCCGAGTCTCTGCATATGATGATTCAAATGACAGTGACCTGTAAGAAGGCCTGGCGTCAAATCAATAAACCCAATATGTTTTCACAATTTATATTAAATGAAAGAAAACAACCCTTACATTCGAAGGGAAAAATATATCGCAGTATGTCATCTTAATTGAATATTTCATAATAGTAGCCTTTCCCGACAGAGTGCAAAATGGCGATAGATGTTAATGGAATTAAAAGTGTTACTAAATAGGCTTGAACATAAAATCCAGTTGTGATACAGCCTATAAAGTTTTATAGACGATTATTCAGGGTAATATAAAATTTTGATTCATTATACACATATCATTGAAGAAAATAAAATACAAGCAGCCTTGTCTGGGAGATCACATGCACTATGCTTGATAATGTTTTAGAGCGATAGAGGCTAGATGGGCTACATATGAACTTGTGCACATCGCCAATTGCACAAATCAATCTAATGCAGAGTACAATAAACTACTGATTGACACTGGAAGTCACAGCATTATGGAAATGACCTATGACATTATGCCTCACACAATACAGTACTGTACCCGAGCGGAGAGGACTGGATTCTCCGAGAGAAGGAAATATAGTTGTTGATTCATAGATGGATCAAAAACACCGTCAGGTTCTGGCGCACATGTTTTCAGTCGCAGACTTGCCTAGGGACTTATGCGACTGTATTCGAAGCGGAAATCTATGCTATTGAATGGTGTGCGGAGAGAATGGTAGAATCCAACCTGATACACAAGTCAATAATAATATTTTCGGACAGTTAAGCGGCTTTAGAAACTCTTGGATCCTACCGAGCAACGTCTGAATTGGTTGCAAATTGCCAAAAACGACTCTACTCAATAGAAAGACTCAACAAATTGTCTCTGGTCTGGCTTCCTGGCTATACTGGCCTGGAAGGCAATGAAGCTGCTGATTACCTTGCAAAAACGCGTGCTGCAAGCAGCTTCATTGGACCAGAACCTGTCATTGGCTTCGCTTTAGATTTTGCCGAACAAACATCAAACACCTGGATGGCAAGAAGATTTATGGGCTGCTGGCAAAATCTTCCAGGATTGGCTAACAAACCTTGCGGTTTGGGGTGGAGAGTCGAATAGACCCCCACTTTTGACCCAAACAAATCTAGTGCGACCCTGTATAAGCAGCCTTGTCTGGGAGATCACGAGCAGTAAGCGTGATAATGTTTTTGAGCACTCTGTTTCATAGATGGACAATGTATAATTTGTAAATTCGAATGGTATAAACAATTCATTAGGCTTTATAACCTACAGATGAAGCAAAAATCGAAAAATCAACTTAAAATTGAAAAAATCACTGTGATGATATTGGAAAATTTCAATAATTCAACTGTCAATAGTTGTCGTTACTGGACTCGAGTCTCCAAAACTAGCACCGTTCACAAGCTCCAAAACTCCAACACTCTTGTCTTCATTGTTATCTTCATCTTCTGAAGACGTCAACCGGTATTCAAGAACAGTTTTTGTTTTAGATTCATTTCACGGTAGAGGTTACAGCTCTATATTACATCAGAACGATGCTGTTCGACTTAGACATAAGAAAAATCATTCATAGAAAAAAGTTTTGAGGACACTATCAAGGATATGGACGATGAGAGGTAATATAATTACTCAGACGCAATTTTACTGAAGCAATATTGTTCGCTGCTATCATATGGAAAGATGTCTAGTTCTAAAGTAAACTTTCAATTCAACATCTTCTACCGACCGGAAAATAACACATTTCAAGGGAAGACCTCATCAATTCTTGGGTTATACGAATTCCACTGTCATTCGAAATACATAAATTACTACAGAAGAAATATGTCTGGACTGAATATTAATCGTTTCTCTTTATAGCGCCCATCAGAAATCTGCTATCATCTCTGTATCTCCATTGGCACTCATTCCCGATGTCTTTCATTAATAGGAACTGCCTATTCCCAATATGAATTACAAGTTTTATACATTTAAAGTTTCCGTTAGGATCATTCTCATCATTTTCCACTCTACTCCCCAAAGTTGAGGGAATTGTTTGAGTTTTTTCTTTTGAGGACAAATCCTTAAGGCGCTCTTAGAGCTCTGCCTGTACGAAAATAGTGATTCACATTGGATATGAATCGCTGGAGATTAATCCATTTGAAAAAACTTTCTCAGGAAGTTTATACCACATAAGCGCCGTTCTCCAAATGAAAGCGTGCTTGAACAGTGAAGCTCGAGGGGTACTGAGTTGAACCTCAAAACGATGAGCAGCGATAGTCCGTCGCGTACTTCTGATATGTACCGCTCTTGGTGGAATCAAATGTGCCAAGTCACTTAAACACTTTCCGTGAGAGTATCTCTAGAAGAAAGACAAATCTCCAACAATTCTTCCAGACTATCAAGGTTCTAAGTGATGTTCGCGTCTCCAATCGGACGGATAGCTCTTTTCTGGATGGAATCAGCAGCTTTAGGGTATGTTTGGGGGCAGAGCTCCATACATGAAAACAATACTTTAAAGAAGGTCTGATCTGAGCTTTATGAAGCATTCAAAGTGGCTGAGGTGTGTACAGTTTTCTGATTCGGAAAAGTGTTTCAAGCTTTTGAGAAGTAGCCTTTGCAATTCGAACGACATGATTGTGCCAAAACATATTGATGTCTATTTTAACCCCCAACAAACTTATAGAAGCAGAAAGCGGAATTGTCTGACCTGACATTTATATCCGTTTAAGAAACATTTATGTTTTTGGAGAGAACCGATGACTGAGTTTTTGTGGCATTGGATTGGATCTAGTTACTTTCACCCCATCTGAATCTGAATCTGAATTCGAAATTACTTCTAGATCCTCATCAAGATATTCAACTTACTGCTGCCAGTAATATGTGAATCTGCAGCCAATGTCCTGGAATCCAAATGTAATGACGAAACAAGTGTGCTGTCATCAACAAAGCAACATATTGGATTTTTGGTTCCATCCAATAAATCGTTGTTATACAGTAAAAAGAGGGTTGAAGACAATATGTATCCTCTGGAAACACCAGCGTTGATGGTGAGAGTATTCGTGAGATATCTATCGACGGCCATTGGCAGGGAACGTTCATTCAGGAAGCTGAGGAACCATATACCACCACCAAATCCTCATGCCACACACGGTCAAACTTGGAAATATCAAGCGCAACAGCTCTTGACTCTTCATGGTTATGAGGTTACAATTAGAGAAATGCGCGGAACAGAGTTCACAACTTCCCACATCGTGGAGTAAGTGATCATTGGGTCCAAGAATCATGAGCCATGTGTAGTTGAGGCAAGAATGGGGAATGGATAATTCCAATGAATTCGGAACTTAGTGTTATCCACAACGATTCGATATCCTTCAGTGCGTAGGGCAACACTAATACCTCTTTAATACCGTGAAAGTGCCGTAGGTGGTAATGAAGTACTCTCAGGGCCGCGTTAAGTCGATGAATATAGGCTTGTACGGCATATGCTGGACATGTTAACAATAAGTGCATCACGAGATTGTGGTAGATTAAGGTGTTGAAGACACCATTATGGCAGGCCTTGATTATTCAGCCCACTTGACCTAAGGAAAGCGAAGGTCGGTCGCTTTGATGATCTGAGGTCTTTAATGCTGTTGAAACCCCAAGCTTTGGATTCCTCTCGTATTGCCGCAGGAGTGAGGTGATCTCTGCGGCTTTTTTTTTGTTAGCATATGTTATCTCCCGATTTACAGTTTTCCTATTTTTAATTACACACATCGGAAAAGTCTAGGGATATTTTTAAAAATGGCAATAATTTTTTTTAGANTCCTTAGACTTTTCCGATGTGTTTATATTATGCAGCGTTCCTGTCCAATATGTGAAATGAACCAAAACCGTTACAATGTTCAATAATGAATATCTCTCTCATCAATGTAGGTCGGGTTGGTATAAACAACTTTTTAGTGTTATGTTAGAATTCTGAATATCTTACCTTGATGTCGAATTGTAGATACCTCCGAGCCATTTCGGGAGTCACCATTTTCTCTATCAGCTCAACTGGAACAAGAATATGGCACTGGTAGGCAGGGCACAGAATGTGATGTGCGTCACCATCCTGTATTTTTGTGGTCAGGTAACTCTGCCAACAAGATTTGCAGAAAATGTGCTTGCAGGACATGTTGACGGGTTGATCCCATTGCGAGGCGGTGAATAAACATATTTCACACTGTAAATTGATACATTTGAGGGACTTCAGCAGTTAAAATAATGTTATTTAGAACAAAATCTCTTTCATGACCATGACCTGACCAGTAACTTTTGAAGCTACCGTATAACAAAACACGTCTTCAAATAAAATTCATTGGAAAAATTCTATAAGGAATAGCATGGACACTCTTATTGATTTTTATCAAGTAACGGGTCAGAGTATTCATAAATTGATTCACGACCAAAAGGTCGTAAGATGACGATCCTCGCTTCAAAAGTTGAACGAAAATAAAACGACACGCTCGGATAACATTGAAGAGCTTTCAGATAATCGGATTACCAGAATTTCAGTGTCGTCTATGGCGTTGGTTTCCGCTGAAATACTCGATTCGATAGAGGAGGCGTGTTGCAGAACAGAAGAAGGTGCTTGAACTCCCGCTAATTGGCAACACTCCACCGGATCTCTCATCCACTTTTCCAGTAAAAGCTCTCGAGACCATTCTGAAAATTCGATTGCATTATTCCTGTAACCTCACGATTTCGTACTTGTTTTTCCATAGCTTTCTTTTGTCTTATTGAACGGTGGCTAAACTCACCATTGTTTCTCAATAGGGCCTCCGCGGTGAAAAGAGGAATTTTCAACATATCGGAAGTATCCACCAGAAGCTGGTCCTTGGCTTCTTGTAAATCTTGACTCCGCAGTCCGCTGTACACTTCTTGTTCGTTGACGATTTCATCCTCATTCACCAACTTGGTCCAATTTTGTTCATGAAAAATCAATTTTCTATTTGACCTACCTATTCCTATTGAATTTTGTGGAGAGAGAGATTGGAAGAATCCAACCTCACACACAAGTCAATGAAAATATTCTTGGACAGTCAAGCGGACGTGGAAGCTCTTGACTACTACCGAGCAACGTCTAAATTGATAGAAAATTGCCAAAAAACCACTCTCCTCGATAGAAAGACTCAACAGATTGTCTCTGGTCTGGATTCCTGGCCATACTGGCCTGGAAGGCAATGCTGACTCCCTTGCAGAAGGGTGCTGCAAGCAAGCATCGGACCAGAACCTGTCATTGAGATCGCTTCAGGCCTTGCCAAGTAAAGATTGAAAACCTGGATGGCAAGAAGATTTATGGACTTCTGGCAGAATCTTCCAGGATTGGCTCACTCCAAAGCGTTTATTCACCCTTCGAAACTTGATACCAAACAGTTTTTGGACTATAGTAGGGATGAACCACGATATCTAACAGGACTTCTTACAGGTCACTGATATTTGAATCATCATATGCAGAGACTCGGACTGTCGGAAAACAGTGTGTGTCGCCTCTGTTTGGAAAATGATTGAAACAGCAGCGCATATACTTTGTGCCCTCCCCGCTGGGGACCGAATCAAGTTTTTAGAGTTCGGCAGAGCCGTACTTTCACCATCTGACCTGGAAGACCATTCACCATATAATCTAATCGGCTTCGTTAAGGAGCTGGTTTTATTTGGTCGAGTGTGAATAGGTGTGAACTACAATAAACCATTGCGGGTTGCGGGGGATAGTCGAATAGACTCAGTAACTTTGGACAGAACCTAACCTAACCTAACCTAACCTACCTATTCCTGCTGAGATAACCTGTTTTGCTGATGATACCGTGTTCTTCAAACAAAATAATTGGAAAAATTCAGGAGAACAAGTGACATCTTCATTCCCCGTAATCATGAAATATGTCAGTGGTAAACTAGTCACTGTAAATCTAAAGGAAACCATGTACTCACTTTTCACGACCTACGAATAAAATCTACTCAACTATTCATGTATATATGTTCGGATATCAGTACCAGAATCTCCTGTTACTTATTTTCATTTTAATCATCTATTCACTGAAGCCGAGCTGATGGATACATTTTTGCTCAAAAATTACTTATTTATCAACAATAAAATCTCAAGGATGCTAAAACTGTCGATCAGTCACATCATACACGATATAGAATACATTCGATTGACATACTAAAAATGTAAAAAGCTATTGGATAACGCAGCTGTACCTATCTACCTCTTCATCTTTATCCAATAAATATATGAAGATGGAGATGTAGAAAGCCAAAATCTTTTCTTTCCCGCTATGAAAATGCTAATCGCTCGGAAACGGGAACAATTGAAAGACCTATCAAATCTAACATTATAAGATCCCTTCTCTATTGAAAAAATGTATGATAGTCTCTTGGTGGCGGCTGCGTCTCACTATTGTTTTTTAACTAAAAAGTACTGAAAATGATGCTAACATAGGTGTTGACATTTAGTTTTGTTCAAGAATAAAGAGAGATGATATTCTACGTCCTCACTTCAAAACGAATGTATTATATCGAAAACCATGAGGTTCTCAATTTCAAATATTTTTACAAAAGTGGCTTTCCACTCGCAGATCATAAAAAAATCACCGCTAGTCTATAATGGTAATGGTTTTCATTGTTAATGTGAACAAACAGATTTGATGACTACTTCAAGGAACAACCATAAGCATAAAATCGCATATCTGGTGTTATGCTTATGGTTGAAAGCATTTTCAAATTAGGCTTTCAAACAGAGAAATTCAGCATTTTCGTGGCAAAGAGGTAGCGACGTTGCATTCTGGTATTTATGAACTGGGGCTGTAAAATGCCTTCCTTCTTTCAACTTCAGAAAAATAGGAAATATCGAGGTTGGAGGAGTGAGTAAGAATAGAATAGAATGTATTCATCATGAAACTTACATAATTGACATTATATGAATTTATGAGACTAGTCGAAAGAATTGTGGTTTGAAATACTAAAAATCCATTTGGAGAAACGTCCTTAGGAATTTTATTCCACATTAATGCGGTTCTCTAGATGAAAGAGTTCGTAAACAGTGAAGTTCGAGGTGAACTGAGTTGAACCTCAAAACGATGAGCAGCCACAGTTCATCGTGTATTTCTATGAACCGCTCTTGATGGAATCAGATGTGCCAAGTCACTTGAACGTTTTCAGTGAAAGTATCTATAGAAAAGAGACACATCTCTTCTTTCCTTTCTTCGATGTTTCAGACTATGGAGGTTGCCAGTGATGTTCGCGCCTCCAATCAGGCGGATGATTCTTTTCTGGATGGAATCCAGTAGCTTCAGGGTATGTTTGGGGGCGGAGCTCCATACATGAGAACGATACTCCAAAGAAGCTCTGATCTGAGCCTTATAAAGCTTCAAAAGTTGCTGAGCTGTGTACAGTTTTCTGGTTCCAAACTCTTGAGAAGCAGCCTTTGCAATTGTAGCTACATGCTTGTTCCAAGACATATTGGTGTTCATTTCAACCCCCAACAAACTTATCGTAGCAGAAAGCGGAATTGTCTGACCTGACATTATTATATCCGGGTCGCAGACATTCATCTCAAAAAAATATTGTTTCTGGTAAATTCCTAACAGGATTTGATGAATATCGTTAGTATAATTATATCTCAATTAACAAACATCGGACCACCAAATCAATTCAATTGTAACAACAAATAGAAACTCACAAAAACCATCCTGCTTTCTAGTAGCCTAGCTATGTCATGATGTGATCCTCTCATAGCCAAATCACACGGTGTTAATTTATCGTTATTTTCTATGAAGAGTGGGGCACCATGAGTTAGAAGTAATTCAACACATCTCTTGAGGCCAGTTTGTGCTGCCCAATGTAGAGCTGTGTTTCCTTCCTGAAAAAAAAAAAAATAGTGTCAAAAGTATATGCGAATGAAAAATAATAACTGCTCTTTATATCGACGAAGACTGAACATACTGCTAGAATTTTGGTTGAAACAACAGTTATCTCAATTAGCATTTGATAACGTTTATATGAGTATACCTCTCTAATATTTCTATTGATGGATCAGTGATAGACAATTATGATTTTTGAGATAGATCTGTTAACTTCTGAGGAAGACAATTACAATTTTCAATTAACCATAGAGAAAAATAGACATAAATATTATTCAAAAAACCCCAGTCATAGAATTCACCATATTTTATAACAAATTCGATAATACGTTGTAACAGGCCTAAATCTTAGCAAAAAATGGTGTTACATTCTTGAAGCTGGGATTCGAATGCCGGAGCTCATCGGAGAAGGGGTGCTGGGTAAAATAATTTTTAACGGAGAATTGAATAACATATATTCTCCAACAATGTAATTGAATGTGAAGGTGATCACTACAAACTTGTGGCCTAGAAGTATACTTCTGGTTTACAGTGATGAGGTAGGTAACCTTGGTTGGCTGCAAACTTATAAGTTAATCACGGTTTTCCCTTCAGCACATCCAAGTTGTACCCTTTCTGTAGAGTAGTGAGGATGAGTGTAAGCCCCACAGTACTTAGGCCACATGTGACCCATTGTATATTTTCCCGAGGAGTTGTCCTTCTAGGTCATCATCCATCCTGTCCTTTCCAGGAAGGTGGACAGGTCACTGGGAGATATCTCCTTTATATCGAAAGCTGTAGGCCAAGACTCGCCAAACACTATCTTATTGACTGTCAGGCATGTTCTCGGATATGACATGCCTGACAGTCTCATCTTCCTGTTCACACATACTGCATAGAGGTGTGTCTACTAGCCCCATATTATGGAGATGTTTCCTTAGTTGACAGTGGCCAGTCAGAAATCCTACTGTTAAGCGCAGTTTTCCCCTGGTCATCGCCAGATATTTCTTCGGCACCAGCTTCCCAGGGTCGCCCAAGATGATCAAGGCAAGATTGATTCCATCCCATCTCTTTAGGGATTGAGCATGGGTGTAACATTTGGCTGGTTCCGCAATTGTCGAAGTCATCAGGCCGTAGGTGCCACTGAGTCCTAAAATTCTTAGTCCAGCCGCTTCCTTGGCTGAAGAGTCGGCAATACGATAACCTTTACTACTGTCGGACCCTTCAACCCACCTCAGGATAATGTTATTATCTACCGAGGCTTTGCCTAAATCTTGGTGACACTCTAGTACTAGCCCTGAGATTACACGTTGTCTGTTCAAGGCTAATAGGGCTTGTGTGCTGTCAGTGCAGATTGTTATGTTCTTGCCAAAAATTCCTTTTCTGGTTATTTCTTTTGTAGCCATTGAGATACCAGCTAAGTCTGTGTGGACCACGGTGGTATTTTTTCCATTTCCCACTCAATCCTCAGGCTTAGTGATCTGGAGTGCACTCCACATCCTGAGCCTTCTTTGGTTTTCAAGTTGTACCATTTATTGACTGTAACAGATTCTGTTTGGTTCCTGTGTTCTATGTCGTGTACGAATGGTTGAGGAAAGATCTTACTTGTCATGGAGTGTACGAAAAGCCAAGTCGAACTGCCGGCGGTACGATATAGGTTCTTTGTGAGTGGTTCAGCCAAACAGTATCACTAAGATAGCTCCTGGAGGGGTTAACTCCTGTTGTAGGCTGCCAGAGGCAGACTAAGGAAGATTGAGGGTGGAAATTGAAAGACATGTAGAGAGAATTCGGTCAAATTGGCATTTCCTTTTGTTCATACTCGATAAGAGGATCCTTATCATATATGATGGATGGCTTTACTAGATTAGATTGTGAAAACCGAGGTGAATCACAAATATCCCCAAAATAGTGGGTATGTTATAACCCTCAGATAACAATCAATGATATTTACTCGTGTTTTCCATTTCAGTTTCTATAATCCACAAATGTGTTGAACTGAAACACCTGCTCAGGAAAAGATAACTAGAACTTCTGCTTGGTGGTTGCTATGGTTGAATTTATTGTATAGAATGATTGTACTTATTGTCAGTACTGAATGCAATTCATTTATTGTTATATATTTTGTTGAATATTAGAATGAATATACTGAAATATTGAACGTGTGTTGGTAATTTATTTTGAAATGATACATGGAACCGTAACAATGTCTGAGGTCTGAGGAAGGTATCTAGAAGACATACATATGAAAAAAATTAATATTTAGAAATGTAATTCCGAAACATGCATTTCTGTTATTGCATTCATGTAATGTTCTCTCAAGGAAAAATAATAAATACTGTAGATCCTATGATTTCCTGAAAATTATTATGCTTCAGGATGTATGTAATACGAATCTGAAGGGGATTATTTGTAGACTGGAAATATTATTATCGACGCTGGTAATAAAACTTTATGAATCCAGTCACAATCCACCAGAAGCTGGTCCTTGGCTTCTTGTAAATCTTGACTCCGCAGTCCGCTGTACACTTCTTGTTCGTTGACGATTTCATCCTCATTCACCACATCTGTATTGTCAGCCTGAAATCAATTGCGTACTAGTGATTGTTGAAGTAAGGTGATCTGAGAGTGATCGATTGTAGTTCAGAAAGCTCCTGAAAAAAATCCTCGTAAAAATATTCACAGTGAGGATGTGGAGAGTTCCTCTTCACCATATTTTTTGAATGGAACAAGGTATTGAAGTTGGAAAATAACATAATTTTCAGTACTTTTCGATGAGAAAAACAATCCGGCGGAAGAAAATGAAGTGATTAAATTTATCAAAGGATTGAAATCCAACAAGCCACCTGGAATGGATGAGATTGGATAGAGCATGCTCAAAGAATGTGTTTACAGTCTTATTAAACCCCTTATAGTCTGGTTCACATGTACTCGATTTAGCTCTTTTTGGTGACATTTTTCAGCCCTGTCCAAAAATTACGACCAAGGTGTCATTCGATTCGTAGAAACCATGTGTTATGTACCTTTGTTGAATATTTTCCGTGCTAAATATTAATTATTTTTCATCCAAACTGAAACCCACCCACACATATTCCCTCTACAGTTGCGTGTGGATCAACACAAAAGCCTACTGAATAATTCTTTTATTATAAAAAGCGAGGAGAAATTGCTTCAATTTTTCCCAGAAATTATTCAATTATATCCAGAACGGACACAATAGGTCTCTTCGCTCTTCCACAATAGCCATATTAATCACGATTGTTACATGAAGTAAAAAAGATTAAAAAAACAATTGAAACAGTCGCAAGGCTTCATTCGGTTGAAGTAATTGATTAGAGTATTAAATATTTTCGAGTTTTCTTTGCGTATCAAAAAAGCAAAAAAAATTGACAAAGGAAAAATCGTTTTATGGCGACAGTACCTAGATGAAAAAATTATTTCATTCTTACTTCAAATAGTAATTCGATTTCATTGGATTATAACTTTGAAACAGCGATTTTCTGGTGAGTTTTGATGTTGCGAGTTTGTTCACTACTGTTCCGGTTGATAAAACCCTGAAACTAGTGAAAACTGTATAAGAAAATGATACTAATGCAAGAATTTAAAAAAAATTGTGAAACTTTTTGCAGCTTCTGATATAATGTACTCGTAAAACATTCTTTCAGTTCAAAGAGGATTTTTATCAACCAAAATTTGGAATTGTGAGAGACTCATCTTTGCACCGATTCTGAGTGCCACATCCATGTAGAATTTTGAGGAAATACGCATCGAAACTTACCAGAAATGCCCAAAGAAGTGGTGGAGATATGCTGATGATATATTCGCTATCTAGGTCCATAACCCAGACGAATATCAACACTTCCTTGAATATCCATATGATTTTTCCAATAAATTCAATTTTAAAAACGTTTCGCTACAGGGTTGCTTCATCAGGTCCGTTTTTGAATCATTTCAATACAAGTGAACATACGGAAAAAATCCCGTGGGGAAGTAAAATTCAGAATTAACTTCTTTTTGTTTACACAATCTTCACAAATCCAACAACAACAAATGTCTGCTGTTGTATTTCACTCTGAATAAAATTTTCGATATGAAATATTGTAAGCCCCTTCACTTGTATGGATTCTCCAAAATCCACCAGAAGGATGTTTCGCTCAGACCGATCATTAGCTCGAGAGATTCACGTGGAAAGACTCTACACCATCGTTCCTGTCGAAGAAGCACTTCAAATCATACAAAGGAAGCTATCCGGGGACAGGGACCTGGAAGATAGAACAAACTTACCAATATAAGTAATCATAACTAGGATGCTGTGTACGAAACTGCTATTTCCAACTGGAGGACAAATTCTCTACGGAAGATGAGGGACTGCCAATAGGATCGTCACATTCACTGGTTATAGCCAACATACATATGGAGTGACCATTGAAGAGAAGCCCACAAGAAGTCCCGAGTCTGGTTGAGATACGTTGACAATGGGAATACAGAACTAGATATCTTCCTGAAGCACATCAACAACGTATGATATTCCATCACTTCCATAATGGAGAAGAAAGTCCACAACGAATTGCCATTCTTAGACGTATTGGTGAAGAGGACTGACACCAAGTGGAAAAAATCTGTATACTGGAAACTCACTCACACTGAACAGTATCTGAACCAGGAGTCCAACCACCATCAATCGATTAAGAGAGGAATCATCAAGATACTAGTAGACCGTGCTTTAATTCTCCTTAATACGAAGGAAGATCTCGAGAAGAAACTAGGCATCATCAAAAATGATTTTCAACGGAATGGTTTCTTCAAAGTGATGGTGGAACAGACTTTGGGTAGAAGACAACAAGAGGCTTACGAGAAAAAGAAGCCGTCACAACCAGAGAATAGTCGGAAAGGATGAGAAGAATTGGGTCCAATTATAACATCAGAACTTGCTTCAGATCAGGAAACACTACCCGTAGCAGCCTCACGAAAACCAGGCCACCAAACGCGGACTGCGTTTCCAAGAATTGCATTTACCAGTTACCCTGCGAGTGCGGAGAATTCTACATCGGTGAAACTAAGAGGCCATTGAAAGTTCGCATTGCGAAACACACACACAGCAAGGGTAAATCAGCAAATCGGGAATAGCAGAGCATATTTGGACTCATTAACATAACATCAAGTGTTTCCAAGCGGAAATCCACCACAAGGAGGAACTCTGGCTTAGGAGAAAATTCAAAGAAGTCGCATATATGTTGTTGCCCAGCAAGGCATTTACCCAAGCTAGCATAGAGGTATGTAACATAAGGAAACCCATAGTCAAGCGGAAAACGGCCAACTCCCTCCAAACGATCAGCTCCCGCTAAACCGGTGAAGCGGTGAGAGGGAAGAGGGGATAGGTGAAAGCACTCGAATGACCTATAGAATAGTCAGCTCTCGGAGGAATGAGTCTAGTCATCACTCTAGGACGATTGTGGATACTAACAATCGAAACGTCGTGAACTATCTTGACTTGACTTGAAATCTTTTCATTTTCAATTTTCATTTCTTGTTAATTGTTCAATTTTCAATGAGCTAAGATTAATGAGGTCTCAACTTTTAACGTTGAATTCATTCCTAGTATGAGTGCTTCTGTTATTTTTTCAATTGCATTTTAATTTATATGGTAATGACGACCTAATATTCATCTGAACGATTGAGTTTTAGTCACCTATTGTTGATGCTGATTTGGTGAACGGAACGGGCGTCACCAGTTAATATTCTCATTATGATATGGAAAAAGTGCTTCCAATAAACTGGAAGCCGCAATGTTTGTAGTTCTTCCATATGAACCAATATACATCAATGCATTGGTCTGCATTCAAATAAAGACATACACGTGTTTATCAAACTATTAAAATGAAAGTGGCTTTCAAAACTATTTGAAAACTCAAAGTGTTGATCAATCCAAAAGACACTATAATGAAAACTTAGATATCTGGGAACTACGAAAAACGCCTATCAGAAAACAACTACTTCCCTGGCTAATACCAAGGAGGGCGTTGGATTATGTCCGAAAGATGTTAGAAAGTTATTCCTGCATATATTATGCTGTTGGCTATACAAATGCCTCAATAGATATAACAGCAGGACAACGAAGAAAAAACAGAATAGATTATTACAAGAAGGGAGCTCCACATTGTTATGATTTCGAGTGAAATTTACAATTCCATTTTTGATTTTTTTTTATTTCAAAATGGATGAGAATGTTAGATTTATGTTTTTATTATTCCCTCTGTATATATTTTCCGAGTTGAATTTAGCTTGATAAAAGACTTTCGACTAGAGTGTTCAAATGGAAAGAATTTAAAAACGTCAGTAAGACTTTATTCGATGATGTAATTATATCCATTCCATATTTGAAAGTTTGTTCGTTCCTTCTAGCACTATTAGTATCAACTCCTTGATGACCATTTATATTTATACATATTATTTCACACCTTTGCAGTATTTCTACTCTATTATAAGCGAAACTCGATTGTACTAGACATAGTGCCCTGCGGAACTTGAAGCCTATTGATTTTCACACATTGTTTCATGTTTACTTGGAACATTCACTTGGAACTTCAAAGGCACACCTCCGCATCTATTACTTTTCAGTGCCTTCAGGAATTAATAATAATCAACCTTGTCGAACGCTTTTGCTACGTCTGCGAAATTGCTTGTCGTTGATTGGTTTTCGTATTTTGATTGATTTATCAAAGCTATCAATCTCGACTGGCCGTAGGCTTGTTTTTCCATCCGGGAAACACAGTTGAGGGATATGTAGATTTTAATTCAGTAAGTTTCTGAGAGATAAGCTATCAATGTAAAAATATTGACTTTCACAGCCGGGGTCACGATTGAAGAAAACGAACAGCGGGCAAGTTGGCCATAGTCGAATAAAACCTGAACTAACGAACGTTTCGTCTGCGACTGCGGCAGACATCATGAATGATATGTGCGTTTACTGGGAGGACGAAAATTGTATTTTGAAGTCTCAGCAATGAACAATAGAAAGGATAGTAGACGATGGTACTTCAAGTTCTATTCGAACATGGCATATTAGCCTGGATTTTGTTTTTTTCAATTCAAGCTACTAAGTTCAGGATTGATTTCTCCCTTCCATTTTATAGATACACTGAAAATAGAAAGGCTACAAAGTACATCTGTTTTTTATGAGTTATTTCAGGTTGTTTCGAATCTCCTCTAGAAATTCTCAGACATGTGACTATGACCTAAAAGTTTTTCTTTTCAAATCGATTCAGTTTTTTTATGTACACAACTGTATACGTCGAATATATTATATCGAAAACGATATAATATATTCGTCTCGTCGAATAATACAATAACTTTTTAAAGCATTTGAGAAAGCGTTAATAATGTATTATTAACGCTTGAAAAAGCATATGTATAGCGAAACACGTGTCGCGGTTTTTGTTGAACCCTTTATAGTAAAAATCATACAATAAACTGTAATAATGAGTTTTGAAAATAATTCAATTGAAGTTCAGCAACGAAACGCTAATGGATTCTGTCCAACTTGGACCTATCCAAATATTTCTTTGGTGAAACAAAGACAGAAGTTTCGTACATGGCTGACTATTCATTTATGTGTTTTCCTTGAAACGTACCTTGTCTTGCGTGGCCAGGTCCACTTTTTCTCTCGATCCATTGTTCAACGGAACACCTCTCCAGAACAATAACAATTGAACACAGGCCGCTCTCCTCTCTTGGGCGCTGAAGCTTTTTGTTTGATTCAGTTGGCATGCTGTGTGCAGGACAGTCTCATTCATACCGTTCTTCTTATTGGGGTTGCCACCTAGTTCGTTGAGAAATGCACGCAGGAGGTGTTTCATACCTGGAATGGAAGAATATACTTATCACAATCAATCTTTCAACACATTTATTTAGTTGAGCTCAAAAACAAATGTGATCCAACACCATCATCAGTGGTGTTAGGTTTTACCACGAATGCATTGTCTAATATATAAAATGATTTGAAATCCTTGNCAGAAATTCCTTTCCTGGTTATTTCTTTTGTAGCGATTGAGATACCAGCTAGTTCTGTGTGGACCACGGTGGTATTTTTTCACATTTCCCACTCAATCCTCAGGCTCAGTGATCTGGAGTGCACTCCACATCCTGAGCCTTCTTTGGTTCTCAAGTTGTACCCTTTATTGACTGTAACAGATTCAGTTTGGTTCCTGTGTTCTATGTCGTGTACGAATGGTTGAGGAAAGATCTTACTTCTCATGCAGTGTACGAAAAGCCAAGTCGAACTGCCGGCGGTACGATATAGATTCTTTGTGAGTGGTTCAACCAAACAGTACCACTAAGATAGCTCCTGGAGCGGGGTTAATTTTTGTTGTAGGCTGCCAGAGGCAGACTAAGGAAGATTGAGGGTGGAAATTGAAAGACATGTAGAGGGAATTCGGTCAAATTGGCATTCCCTTTTGTTCATACTCGATAAGAGGATCCTTATTATATATGATGGATGGCTTTACTAGATTAGATTGTGAAAACCGAGGTGAATCACAAATATCCCCAAAATAGTGGGTATGTTATACCCTCAGATAACAATTAATGATATTTACTCGTGTTTTCTATTTCAGTTTCTATAATCCACAAATGTGTTGAGCTGAAACACCTGCTCAGGAAAAGATAACTAGAACTTCTGCTTGATAAGAATAAAAAGTTAACATTTTTTTCTTTTGAAGTTTAGGAATTTCGATATATGGTCGATCTTATCGGACTACCCTAAAGAACATGAAACAAGAATTGATCAACTAAACTAATGAATAATTATACACGGTGGTTGCTATGGTTGAATTTATTGTACAGAATGATTTTACTTATTATCAGTACTGAATGAAATTCATTTATTGTTATATATTTTGTTGAATATAAGAATGAATATACTGAAATATTGAACGTGTGTTGGTAATTAATTTTGAAATGATACATGGAACCGTAACAATGTCTGAGGTCTGAGGAAAGTATCTAGAAGAAGAGATCTATGGAATTATTATTGAAGATGGAAGAGACTCCCCAAGACGTCCGTTGCAAACCAAATCATGATATCAACTGCCAAATGAGACTCGTCTTCTATTTTCCACTGTAACTTTCACTGCTGCGCAACTAGTTGAAACTAGTTGGTTCGTGGATTGAGTCTTCTGTTAGTCCCACAGATTTGCCTGCACTCACTCAGACTAGTACTATTGACGAAATATATGATTTTTTTTTTCACTTCCTGGGAGCCGTCTAACTTTTACATTTCTTCTAAGTCCCCGGAAACTCTGCAGCCTCATTATTGCGTTTTCCTTCATCTTTCCATGACATCCAGTCCATCAATCTTGTTCTCTGTACTAGTTTGTGAAGGTATTTTGCTGGACGTTTCATAATTTGGGTTGTCTCTAATTTATTCGGCTCTTGTGATCGAAAGCTCCATATTCGCATGGAAGATGAGATGTCTTTGTTCCTTAGTTACATGCAAGGTCTACGTTATTCAGCATTATTTTGTTCGTCTGCATCTAGTTAGTTGCTGTGTTATTGTCCTGAGTCAATCTTTGCTTTATTGGGTCAGCTTTTCGGTTCTCTTCTTGGACGATCCCTTTGTGAAGGTTTTTCCGTATGTGTTTCCACACCAAAAATTCTGCTACCCTCTCAGCTAGTTCACGTTCTATATATGAGTTGAGGATCTGGGTCTGTCACACTGGTCATATTTTTCGTTTTCCATGATACATGAGTGTCCTGACGTCCAGCTGTTCTGTTCCTGTCCACCAGTTTCCTCAATTCCTCATTGCATTCCAGACCAGTATCGATGTCACTTATAAGTTCATCAATCAATCAGTGCAGCTTGACTGTATGAAAATATTGATCAGCTTATTTTGTTATGGCTTCGAATTATTGTTGTACAGCTTCCGTCCCATGTCCCCCGTATCAGCATCAGGTGTTTCTTCCGAGGGATTATTGTTCATTCTTCACTTTCTGCGATACGATACTTCAGCTGCGTAGATTGTGTCGGACACGTTTTTTCCGGTGTCATGCAGTCTGTAGTCAGATGTTGATTCCTCCACATATTCCAAAATTTCTGTTGTGCCCGATACCATATAGGTCGATGATTTCCCCAGTCTGAAATGGCCGTTCACCCTGGCTTTTCTCAATATAACAAGAAGCGAATAAGGAAGATCCAAGAGGGTCTCCAAAGCAGCTGTTGCGGTGGTTTTCATCGCGGTCATTTGTTCCTATTTTGGCCACCAGACCATAGATGCATATGATATCATTGGTTCAACCGCTATGGTGTAGAGCCAATATATCATATGTGGTTTCAGTCCTCATAGGTCAGGCTACCTTTACCTTTCTTTTTACTCTTCCAGATCAGCAAGGGATTTAGTATAACTCTGAGGTATTTGACCTCCATGACAGCTGTATATTTGCAACTCAGAGTTTCGGACCAAACTCCCCCTGAGAACAGCTCCTTGTAATCCGTGCAGGTTAAAACCTGCTATTATTTCATGAATATATCGAGTGGTCCAACGAAAAGTATGCACCTTCCTTTTCTCCTTAACGCAAAAAATGCTCGGACAGGTCAATTTTGCTTTTGAGGGGAACACATTTTAGATGTATTCTTCTACCTGTGCCTTCAACCCCCTAGCGAGGGTGAGTAACAACCCTAAAATTTCAAATGAAAAGTGTGGTCGAGTAATATATCATTTGAAAATGTATTCCATCAGTTTGGACTTCCATTGTCTAATATAATATAAATTGATTTGAAATCCCTGAAAAAAATTAAAAATAAAATAAAAGATTAACCGAAACTAACAATTTTATTAAAAACAAAAAACTGAAATTACAAGAAAATAACATACAAGCTACAACCAGAAAATAAAAAATTGAAATATTAATAAAAGCTGAAAATTAAAAAATTCCAAACCAAGTTACGTCACGACGTTTCGATTGTTAGTATCCACAATTGTCTTCGAGTGATAACTGGACTTATTCCTCCGAGTTCTGACTATTACTAGGTCATTCGAGTGCTTCCACCTTTCACCTATCCCCTCTTTCCTCTTTTCGCTTCATCGGTTTTAGCGGGAGATGACCGTTTGGCGGAAGTTGGTCGTTTTTCGCTTGATAAGAGGTTTCCATATGTTACGTATATCTACGCTAGCTTCACTAAATGCGTTGTTGGACAACAAATACGCGGCTTCCTTGAATTTTTTCCTAAACCAGTGTTTCTCTTTGTGAATGATTCCAGCTTGAGCCCACTTGATATTATGTTGATCAGTCCAAACATGCTCTGCTATTCCGGATTTGCTGGTTTCTCCTCACTGTGTATGTTTCTTGTGCTCAGCAATGCGAACTTTCAATGGCCTCTTAGTTTCACTGATGTATGATTCTCCGCACTACGAATTGCATATGGTAAATGCAAATCTTGGAATCGCAGTCCGCGTTTGGTGGCCTGGTTTCCGTGAGGCTGCTACGGATAGTGTTCCCAGCTCTGAAGCAGGTCCTGATGTTATACTTGGACCCAATCCTTCTTATCCTTTACGATAATCCTCTGATGTAGGGGAGTACAAGTACTGGTTGTGGCGGCTTCTCTTCCTCGTGGACCATCACTCTGGAGTAAACATTCCGTTGAAGGTCATTTTTGATGATGCCTATTTCTTTTTTCGAAACCTTCCTTTGTATTACAGAGCTCGAAAGCACGGTCTGGTAGAGTCTTGATGATTTCTCTCTTAGTCGATTGATGGTGGTTGGATTTCTGGTTCAGAAACTGTCCTGTGATTTCAAATCAATTTATTTTATATTAGACAATGGAAGTCCGAACTGATTTAATACTTCAAACTTTCTGTTGTGCCCGATACCATATAGGTCGGTGATTTTTCCAGTCTGAATTGGCCGGTCACCCTTGTTTTTCTCAATATAACAAGTAGCAAATAAGGAAGATCCAAGAAGGTCTCCAAAGCAGCTGTTGCGGTGGTTTTCATCGCGGTCATTTGTTCCTACTTTGGCCACCAGACCATAGATGCATATGGTATCATGGGTTCAACCGCTATGTTGTAGAGCCATTATATGATGTGTAGTTTCAGCCCTCATAGGTCTGGCTAGCATCAGTGCTACCTTTACCTTTTCACTCTTACATATCAGCAAGGGATTTAGTATAACTCTGAGGTATTTGACCTCCACGACAGCTCTATATTTGCACCTCAGAGTTTCGGATCAAATTCCCATGAGAACAGCCCCTTGCAATCCATCCAGGTTGAAGCCTGCTATTATTTTAGGAATAGATATGTAGTTATTACCAAAGAACCGCTGAAAATAGTTTTTAATACTATAAGTCAATGAATCTTACCATGCTTGGCAGCGTAATGTAGAGCAGTATTGTGGTTATGGTTTTCACCATAACTGAGGTTTGGATCAAGGTTTTTCTTCAATTCAGGTGAATTTTGATAAATTTGCATAGCAGCATACTCATCTCCATGTTGCAGGTATTTTTTGAATTTAGATGAGGTGCTTCCCATCGCAAGATGACTCCTCCTGCTTGTTTCGAGAAGAATAATCTAAGCTACTCAGTTACAAATCGAGGGTAAAAAATTCGATATGTCTACTAGTTAATGGGTAGTTTCATGTCATGAAACGCGATGGCCACTCCGGTAACACCATCTCGTCACCTGAAAAATGAAATGTACATTGAAAATCAGAGCACAGGATATGAGAACTGAAAAGTTGAACACCATTTTCATGTTGGGCAAATACCGTGAATGAAAAAAATCGTTCTGAAACAATATGGCTCAATACTGAAAGAACAGTATTTTTAGATGAATGTTGGTAAAATATTGATTCAACAAATTCCAAGAGGATAGATATTGTTATGTGGTATACTAGTTTGATTTTATATCTAAATTGATAACTTGCTACCAATATTAGAACCACTTCATCCGGCGATATTAAATAATATCATTTCAACTTTATCGAGTTATCGATATTTGCCGCATATTTGAACCCCAATTTCTACATTGGCTCAGTACTTATTTCATATTCAAGTATCAGCCAAGTTCACCACATTTCAGAAAAAGAATGTCAATATTGAAAAGACAATTCAATTGGCATATCGGTCTGATAAATCTGTCTATTCCCATACTGGTTGAATATTGTTGAGGCGAGAGGTTATAAACGGAAATATCAGCCTTAACTGATTTCTCATAAAACATGGTGAAACTGAAAAGTTAGAAGGCTAACATAGAAAAGAAAATTGATAGACTTTGGTTTTTTATTGAATATAATCGTCTTTGAGGACGATACAACGATTATAGCGGACAAACAATTTTTCTATACCATTTTTATAGTAAGATTTGTTTCTAGCCTCAAATAGGCCACAGTTTCGATGATTTTCTTTTCAGTTAGCAGTTTTTTCCAGTGTGCATTCTTTCGAGGTCTGAGAACAAGAATAAATCACAGAGGGGTGGATCTGGGGAATACGGTGGATGTGGAAGCAATTCAGAGCCCAATTCATGAAATTTTGCCATCCTTTTCATTGATTTGTGACAAGGTGGAATATTATCTTTTTTTTTTTGAATGGGGCCTTTTTTTCGCGATTTAGTCCTTCAAACGCTTCAATATTGCTATTTAATACCCGCTATTGATGATTTCCACTTTTTCAATATAGTTGATGGATATTATACCATATATATCCCAAAAAACTGGTACCATAACTTTGCTGGCCAACTGTTGAGTCTATGCAGGCTTTTGAGACGGTTAACCACGTGCAGTCTACTCAGCCGACGATCGTTTTGATTCTGGTGTGAACTAATGGGTTTTTCATGGTGGAACAGCTTTGAACACTGCTTAGAATCATCAATTCATTGTTAGTATTGGTCGATTGTGAGCTCACGCGGTCCCCACTTCGAACACAGCTTTCGTATACCCAAATAATCATTCATAGTATGTCCAACACTTTCCTTTGATATCTTCAGAGTCTCAGCTATTTCGATCAACTTCACTTCGCGATCATCCAAAATTATTTTGTGGACTTTTTTGATGTAACAGCCCGTTTAGGGAGTCCACTCCGTGCACAGTCCTAGGTGCTCATTTTATCTCATTGAAACTCAGCAAACCACTACTCAACGGTTGATTTTCCTGGTGCAAAGTCCGATTAATATTCATCAAGCCAGGCCATGGCTTCAACAGTATTCTTTTTATACGAAATTCCATTTTTCCATTTTCTTCAAACTAACAGAAGTTGCTTTACTCAAAATGTTCTATCCCACAAACTAATAGTTCTATAGCTGTGAAATTTCTAAATGTCTCTTTCGAAGGATAGGTTTAACTGAAAATGTAATAAATTCAATACTGATAGGCTATCGAGTATGGCATCTGGACCCTTCATTGTTTTGACATATGTCAAAGAAAATATAGCTGTTCACAATTGATGTGTGAATTTCCTTGAGTTTTGGAAAAAATAAAGATGTAGATTACCTAAACTATCTAATTAAGAATGATATCATTGGAACAACGTGTTCATAGAAATCAATTGACTGTGTAACAAATGAAGATGGACCCACCAACTATCCAATTGAATTCTTAAACTTCCTGGATGTGCATGGCTTACCACCGTATAATTTACGCCTGAAGGTTGGCTCCGTGGTAATCATGCTTCGAAACATAAACCCACCAAAACTTTGCAACGGTTCACGTTTGGTGGTAAGTGAATTGATGAACAATGTGATTTACGCGATGATACTCAAAGGAAAATTCGAAGGTGAGGAAGTCTTATTCCGAGGATCCCGATGATCCCAACCGATATGTCATTTGAGTTTAAAAGACTTCAATTTCCAATTCGTCTTGCATTCGCCATGACCATTAACAAATCACAAGGCTAATCCTTGAAAGTTTGTGGTCTGAATCTGGAAAATTAATGTTTTTCACATGGTCAATAATATGTGACATGTTCACGGTTCGGAAGACCATCTGCGTGGCAGTGGCAAATGTGCCACTGGAATCAATGAAGTTGCCCCGGAGCGCCAATTAATTTTTATTGTTGTTTTTATTTTAATCGTTATTTTGATAACACCTCAGGCAAACCTGAGTGAAGAAGGGTGATGAGGAAGGTATTTTGAAATTTCAATATTTAGTGAGTATCGAATTAAAACCTGGTATTGTTGTTGAAATTTCAATATTGATTGCAAATCGATTCTTAGCTGAAATATTGGTGATGCGATAATCATTTTACATTATTTCGAAGAGGTCATCGAATTTATCACTATGTGTTGAGTACATTGGCCTAATTATTCAATATGCCCAATGCACATGCACATTTCAAGACTACTATCCATGATAATAATCATAGAACTTTCAAAATGAATTTCATTCAAATCTGTTTCTTAGAAGCAATATTGTATTGTACCTAATTGTTTATTTAAATTCTATTCATTCCACCAGATTCGATAATTTTTCTAATGAGTTCTGTCATCACCTACTGCTATATAAAAAATATGTAGAATAGTTTATGTACCAGTAACTGATAAGGCTAACGTGTACCGAAACGCGTTTCAAATATAATTAATTGTGAAAATTCCATGATTATTGTCACGAATAGTATGAATAATTTACATCTAGTGACGGGTGTTCCACAAGGTTCCGCTCGGAGGTCCGAAAATGACTAAAATGAAGTGCTATGATAAAAAGCATAGGCCTTTAAGCCAGATCGAGGACCGAGTCGAGGTCCAAAATGATTATGTTTGCGACACCTGGTATATTGCGTTTCCGAGACGACTGTTACATCTTTCTCATCTTTGAAATGGATCAGTGAGACAATGAGCAATTTGGATTTTCTGCTGCTGCGAGCGCTGGCTTCTGATTGGTCGACTGTGCGGCAAAAGTGGGGTGATGGTGGTCTGAAATGGGTCTATTCCCATAAATACATGGGATATCCCCACAAATGCATGGGGTAAATCCCATAGATAGAGGGAAATGTCTTCGGGAAATGTCAGTGAGGCACTGTTTGGAATCTTTGGTGTAGTAATGAATATTACTGGAGTCTTATCCCAACACCAAACCGTTATTTCAACACCTCGATAATCTTCAAAAGGAAGATCAGCCACTAATAGTTTTTCGAAGGGTATTGTAGATGATATAATAAGGAAGAACAAGCTTAGGTTAAGAATGAACAGAATCTCGACTTTTAACCTTTCGTCGGGCGCGCCTGATCTGACAGGCACACTGATTATTTTGTGTTTATTTAGGTATTGCGAAATGAGCCAGATCTGAAACGCTAGGTATTCTCATAGTCCGAGTGGCACAATATATTAGTGTATGGCTGGTAGCGTTACATGCAGCAGGTTATACGTTAGAGTTGAAAACTATCTCACAGATCGCCGCGCCCATCCATATTCGAATTAAAAAGTGTAAAAAAAATTACTTTTGATATAGTTTCGTCAACAACTTGTGTCACTATTGGTAAGTAATATATGTATTTTCATTTTTCGTTCGAATCGACTCACTGAGACAGTCACGATCTGTGAGATGCACGCGCCCGATACTGTTACATTACAAAATTGATTTTAGGTTACAGGTGTAAAATGGCTTCAAGCAGCAGACATTTTGATCCAGATGACCCACAAGATGCCGAAATGCTACGACGTATGCTGGAGGACGACGATGATGATACTGTAAATGACATAGACTTAAAAACTAAGATGATGACATTGATACAAGGAAAAAAGGATCTGAAACTGAACAATCAGGACAATCTTCGAGTGAAGACGAAGAAGATACTGACAATGATTTTTTGGGGAAGGATAAAATAACCAAATGGGCTAAACGCTGGAAACCTTCTAAAACTCGTGCTCATAATATACTCACAAAAATTGCTTCTGCTGAAGAAGCTGAATCAACTGTTGATGCTTGGAGCTGTTACTTTACCGATATAATCTTGGATTTGATTGTGAGGTGGACTAATCAGCATATAGAGTCAATATCCGATAGGTTCGAGCACCAAAGAGACGCCAAGTTAACAGACAAAGTAGAGATTGAAGCCTTTTTTTCTTTATTATATTTCGCAGGAGCTATACATTGTAATAGGCAATCCCTAGAAGAAGTATTTGCGGCAATGGACAGGGTATAGAATATTTCCAGCTAGTCATGTCTATAAAAAGGTTAAAATTTTTACTAAGATGTTTGAGATTCGATGACCGTAATACACGCTTGGAAGGAAAAATGAGTGACAAACTCGCTCCAGTACGAGAAATGTTCACATTATTTGTGAAAAATTGTCAAAATAATTATTCTCTAAGCCCGGATGTGACAATTGATGAAAAATTAGATTTTCGAGGCAAATGTCCATTCAGGCAATATATTCCATTTAAGCCGGCGAAATATGAAATAAAGATATATGCCTTAGTTGACGCTCATTATTTCTACAGTTATAATTTGGAAATTTATGCTGGTAAACAACCATGTTGCCAGAAACACTCGACGTTGGCCCATGGCTATATTTTTTTCCATGTTGAATATGTCGGGAATTGATTCTCAAGTAATTGTATCAAGAAATGGAAGCAAATTGATACGAAGGCGTCTTTTTTTACGACAACTAGTAACAGAATTAGTGTTGGAGCACTTGAAACGAAGGAAGCTAGTTTCCCCTGGCCTGCCAAAACATCTTGAATTGAAAATC